GCAACTCAAAGTCTGAGAGAGTGAGGAAATAAACGAACAAAGAATCGACACTCACCCTCGGCTCACTCCTTTCCTGTAAAATACAGGTCCAGCCCACACATATGCTCATGGTGCCCAGGCAATTCCTTACAACTACAATAACAGAAAGTTCAATCTACGCTCCGGCGATGCCACTAGCACCGGAGTCCCACTGCAGACAGCCATCCCTTAGCGTAGCGTCACCGTTGGAACGAGTCAAACAACCACAGACGACACAGGCCAGGGCGATGACAGGCGCCCTTTGAGCATCAGACTGCACGCTGATTGGCTGAATATGTCGCGGCATAGTTACAGAAGCAACAGTCACTGTGGCTCTCGGCTCTGGCGAGGCTCCTTCTACCCGCCCGACGAGAGAGGTATGAACACCGCGGCCAGCCAGGAACCATGGACTTGATCAGTAACTTAGACATGAAAACATTAAACGAGATTTTATTGTAAGATAATTCTACTGTACCAACTATATAATATTTAACTTGTGCTTTAAAAAAAAAAAATTTTTTTTTTTTTTAAAAATATTCCTTATTTATTGTAATTTTAATGCATCAACAAACAGTGGGACGAGGGGGGCGGCGCCCATGGCCGGCGCCACTGCAATCTATTAGCTCAGTATGGTTTGAATGATTTCAGCTCATGTAGTGCGCGGGAGTCACCAGAGAGAAAGTCAACATGTCAGCCCTCCAAAGCTTCCGCAGTCTCTACTGTTTATCACATGACATACAACAGTGGCATAAACAATGCATCCCACTGTCAGGATGCTGGTGGTTCCTCCAAGGGTCCCCAGCTAAGCAAAGGAAACAGAGAGCAGCGGGGGGCAGCGACATAAGATCCCTGCTCTTCCCCTGCCCTGCACATACCTGTACACCCTGCTGAACAAAAAGATCAAATGGATTCAGATCCGTCCCGACTTCCCAGTCAACAGTAAAATCAATTCAAAGCCGTGTTAGAAGTAGCTTCACTATCACAGCCCGTATAAATCTCATATGAAGTTCAGTTTGACATTCAGTATGGAGACATTTTCTGAAGTCTGTGTATTGGGAAAGAAATCTGGGCATTACGTTCATGATGTGACGAGTAAAAGGTCATTAGCTTAAACACTAATTTTATGTATTTCTCACTAAGCCTTAGCAATACATGATGTTTATCATTATTTGGGGAGGAAGACAAATCCTAGTATACGAAATAAACAAAACACATTTATTTGGTAAGGAATCGTCTTTTAACATCACGATCATTTTAACATATTTTCAATGTTGAAATGGAGAATATGCTTCAATAATTGATAGTCCCTTCCAACGTGCAGAATCTTTTTGCAAATGCAATCTCAGTCAAAACTAGAGAATGCAATTCCGAGAAATTGCTAGTGGGAAATGCTAACCTGGCTCGAAAGCTGATGCTGAATTGCTATGCTGAAATGTAATGTGTACGAAGAAAGTGAAGAATTAGATTGAAGATGATACATTGAACACTGGGGCGCTTTTATGAGAAGAGAGAAAGAAAGTGAAAAGGCTTGGAAAAGCAGCAGAATATTTGAACTGCATATAATATTGTGAGGGCATACCTATATAAAGATGTGCTGTGAAGTTTCTTTTCTCCTTCCAAAATACCCAAACAGATCATGCATTTTAGCCATGTCTCATTTCGCTCTATTCCAGGCCCTGTTTTTGCAAGGGCTGGATTCTGTGGCCAATGAGCTGCGGCTGGGGGCGTGGGCACCGAGCGTCATGTTACCATGCTCTTACCCTGCTGTTACCCATGCTGTTACCATGCACGGCAACCTCTCATTCCCGCTGAAGGTGGAAGTTGCCCCATATAGGCGGAGGCTCCCGCCCGTTTCTGACGCGTAAAACAACTCAAATCTGGGATCGAGTCTGTATCAGATCCGTTGCAAGCCCCGTTTTAGAGATTTGGCGGAAGGAAATAGAGAGGGTTGTGTTTCTTCTGACACTTGCGTGAGTGTCCCTGACACACCGGGGACACATTATTCATGTATAAAAGATGCACAAAAGTGCATTTTACATGATGGGTCCCATTTAAAGTGGACCTATCATGCAATATTTGAATAATATAGTGTAGGACCATACCTATATCAGGCATATTTATACTTTTTATTTTTCAAAATACCAAACAGATCATGGATTTTAGCCATTCCTCATTTCGCTCAATTTAACAATGTCTTTTCATGGGCTGATTCTGTGAGAACAGCACCATCTACAGGCCTGGCATATGTACTACATCGTCTTTTAAAGAGATTTGGGTATGGAGGAAAATAGAGAGGGTTGTGTTTTCTGACACTTGGTGAGTTCCCTGGAACACCGGGGGGACACATATTCATGTATAAGATATGTATAAGACGTACAAAAGTGCATTTTGCATGATAGGTCACCTTTAAGTAAGTGCATTAATATTAATATTATCACAATATGAATAAATGAATCTACCTCAGACACACAATTAAAAACATATATATATATATTGCACAATTATTTTATTTCACAACAATTTTGTTGCAGTTTTAGGTTGGTAAGTGGCAACCAGTGAACACATCTAATTGAAAAAGGGAAGTATGAGGGCGACTGTGGCTGTGAGGGAGTGTGGTCGTCTTTCAACCAGAAGGTTGTGGGTTCGATTCCAGCCCATGCAGTCTACATGTCGATGTATCCTTGTGCAAGATACTTAACCCTGAGTTGCTCCCGATGGCATGGCCAACGGTGTGTGAATGTGTGTGAATGTTAGGTCCTAGAGTAAGGTACACTGCTCTGTATGAATGGGTGTGAATGGGTGAATGACATGTAGTATGTAAAGCGCTTTGAGGGGTCTTAAAGACTGGATAAAGCGCTATATAAGTACAGTCCATTTACCATTTACCATTTATGAGAGGATACCTTTGCCTTGAGATTCCAACGATTAAAAAGATGGATAATGTATGTTGCACCACTACGACCATTATTTGTCCAGGGTGGATTTTTAGGGGTTCCAGGGGTCATTATATTATTGTTTCTTCTAAGCCCCCCTTGTTCGAGTATCATAAAGGTACACCCCCATAACCTTGTTCATGTTCATACTTTATTTTATAGCATTTCTGAAGGTCAGCGAGCCCTTGATGTGTGCTTTCATTGTAAATGACAGAAGGCTAAAATATAATATTGATAAGTGTTGTCAATGATTGTATAAACTTGAAAAACAGAATTAAAGAGCATTTCAAAAAAAGCAAAAGGGAAGTATATAGTGCAGGTAGGTGTGTGTTGCTGACTGTGTCTCTGTGGTAGCGCCTGCTGCGGGACAGTGGTCAGCTGCAGGAGCGTCTCAGCCTGCTGCAGGTGAAGGGGGTGCTGCTGGACTCTGTGTTCGGTCCTGAGAGAGCTGACGGGCTGCAGGGAGAGCTCACTGCTGCCGTCAGAAACCGAGAGCTGCTGCACGCCCAACTGCTGAGCAGGGAGAGCCGGCTGCAGGTACACACACACCTCTAACATTCATGTGTACTGTCCACACAATGGAGGAAACTCAAGGTATCCTACGGGCAGGAAGAACATAACACAATGATCATTCCTGCACCACACACCAAATTGTAGTCTTTAGACACAGCCTATGCTAACTCACTTGAGGACATTCATCAGACTCCGCACTGCTCCCTTAAGTTTTCATATGACAAAAGAAGCCTTTTTTCTCTCCTTAAGTCTCAGGCTCCTCCAACAATGCAACATACAATATACTTAACATAAAAGTAAAAGACATTTGTTCAATGAAGTTGCAGGAGTAGGAAAACATTTGCATATAAAGAAGAAAAGGATCAAATGGAATGTAAAAGGAAATGGAATAGAATACATGCTGTCTAATATAGCAAAGTGTATATATGAAGACAAAACAGATGTATGGAACAGTGTATTATTAGCGTGATTATCAACTGTGTGGATGTGTTCTTTAGCAGCCACCTCTCGCCACACAGTGTCAGTTAAATTCCTACAGAGGTGACGTCTACCCATCAGACAGGCTGCCAGTAGATCTGAAATAACTCTGCACCCCTGTAGTTCCACACATTCCATATGTCTTTGTCATTCCCATTGCTAAAGGAATGAAACACACTCACGTACACAAGCTCAGTAAACACTTCCTGCTCATTATTATCCCTGCAAGTCAAAATAGTGGTTTAACATGTGATGAAGCCAGAGGTGGGAAGTAATTAAGTAGACTCAAGTACTGTACTTAGTTAAAAATATAACTAGTTTTAAATGTTTTACAAAAAGTAAATCTTTGTTTGTCTATAGCAGTAAAATGCTACTTATTTTATCTAGAAATGTCACATAATTGCACATACACACATAAAAGGAATTTTTCTGCACAATGATTACTTTGACTTTTTATACTTCAAGTACATTTTGCTGATAATACTTTTGAATGCAGGACCTTAACCTGTAATGAAGTATTTTGATAATAATGTATTGGTATTTTTACTCAAGTAAAGCATCTGAATGCTTCTTCCACCACTGGATGACTGACTGTAGACTAGAAGACTGACCCTGTCTGTGCAGGCTTCATCTCATCATGGAGGAGGAAAATACAATGACAGTGCAGGCTGAATGCAATACGCTCAATTCTCATTTCTTCAACTCTCAGGGCTTAATCTCCAGAACCAAGGACTTTGGTGCCGCCTATGAGTCGCTCCGCTCAAAGCTGTCCGCTCTCCAGCACCAGCTGGTGGCGGCCGACAGCCTGCAGCCCGACATCCTGGCTAAGAAGAGCCAGGCGGACCGTTTCATGGTGAGAGTAATCCAAGACCAGACCAGGGCCCAGTCTCAGACAGCGCTTCTGTTAGAACACGCTCGCCTTGGTTACAGTAGATTACCACAGCAAAACATGTGTTCTTGCATTGGAGACTTCACCTTTTACAAAGCGAGACCCAAGAGTGTGATGAAAAGATGTTTACACAGTTGGATCCATTGAAAACAGTAGTTTTCTTTCAATAGTTTTTTGATTTATTACATTCACTAATATCAGTTTCAGTCAACAGCTATTTATTAGGGTGTGCTGTGATGTGCTTTACTTCCTTCAGGCAGGTTTCCATTGATTTATGTTGACAAATGAAACACGAGTAAGTTAATAACTGTGAACACCGTTTGCTTTGATTGTTGTCAGAATGATTGATTTATTATTAGAGATCCTGCAGCGATGACGTACGTGATTAGATATCTGACACAATGTGAAAACATGAGCTGCCTGAAATGAAAATGAATAGTTGTGTTATCAGATCAATCAAAAACACTAAATTAATCCCAGAGGGAAATTAGGTTGTTCTGACAGTTGCACTAAGGCTGACCAGGTGCCAACAAGCCACATGTGGGACAAAGAGGATGTTTGTGCAGGACAACGTGTGACATGTTACTGCAATGATAAGAGCTAGTTTAGATTTAAATATAATGTCTATTTAACCCTTAAAAATAAACATTTCTATTGACACTATTTGCTTGTAAATATAACACATTTGACTATGGG